AATGTCTAGGAAGCAGAGAGAGAATGCCTAAATTTCTAGATGAAAAATAACTTACTCTGAGACACATCATTGTTAAATTATCGATTGACAAGGATAAAGAGAAAAATGTTTAAGCCACGAGAAAAAAGAAGACATTTTGCAAAGGCATCAAAATTAATATTTCTCAGATTTTACCCCAGATACCCTCTAGACAACAAGAGTGAAGTGCTCACAGTCCTAAAAGACAAGAACTGAGAGCCAAAAATACTCTATCTTTCAAAAATGATGGTGAAATAATAAAGGTTTCTCCAGATAAACAGATGCTAATGGAGTTTTCCATCTCAGACCTGTCTTAAAGATGTACTTAAAGGAGTACTCCTACACAAAAAGAAAAACAAAGGAACATGAAATCCTGAACAAAATGTCAAAAGGAATACAAATCGAGTGAACAACAAATTACTAAAGGGGCCAGAAGAGAGGTCAGGATCTATATAGCTGTTTTGGCAAGTTGATTCAGCTCATAAAGGACTTTTTTCTTGTTCTCACACCTGCTGGCGGCCTCCTGTAGCTAGTAGTTAGCAGCTGGGAAAGGCCATACTAGAGACTGGGGCCTGGGGGCGGCTGATGGCTCCACTAGAGCCCCTCTTCTGAGTCCCAGTAAAACTCTGGGTCTTACTTTCAGGAGTTCTGGTTTTGCTGTGCTCTACTGGAACTGAAAATACAGGGATGAGGCGAGCCTGCCTCTTCAATCTGCTGCCATCTTTTGCTGTTTGTACCTTCTTAATGGCTTTTTACAAGGAAGTAGAACAAATATAAAATACTTATGGAAACATGAAAGGTCCCAAATAGCCAAAATAATCATGAAAAAAAATGAAGGAAAATGGAGCTATCACTCTTTGACTTAAAGCTATTCTGCACAGCAACAGTAATCAAAACAGTATGTTATTTGGAAAAAAAAAAAGCAGTGAGCTCTCTCAGTGAGATGAAACAGTGCTTTTTGGGACAAAATGGATGGGTCTTGATATGATTATGCTAAGTAAAATAAGTCAGAAAGTGACATGATTTATTTGTGGACTATAAAGAGAAAAAACTGGAGCTGTATAGCAAAAAGTTCTTAGACTATGAAAACTATACTGGTTACCAGAGGGCATGATCATGAAGGAGGAGAGGGGGTCGGGGAGGAAGGGGTAGGACATCTGCATGGGATTTTGGTGGAGGGTGAGTGAAGCACATACACATATGGGGGTGTGAAAATGTGCCCCCAATTTTATGTAGTTATCCAAGTAACTGACAAATTAATACAATTTTGGGAAATAAAGAAATATTTTGGACTTTTTCTAAATAAAACTAAAGGTGTTACAGGGTAGCCCAGAGTGGACTGGGCCGCCTGTCTGTGGGGCCTCACCCACGCACTCACAATTCGGTTATACTGCAGGTACACACAAAAGGGTCAATAACAGGTTAATTTACAAAAGGGGAAAGGAACAGGAAACAACAACCCAGGGAAAGAGAGCGGGATACAAAGTAAGTGGAATACCTTATGGCTAAGCTGACTGAACACACCAAGTCACGCGGTCAGGAGAGCTGCTTCCCGAGCGAGCGAGAGAGCGCGCGAGATGCAATCGTGCCCCATTTATCCCCCCAAAGTCCCAGAATTTGTTCCTGCTAGCTCCGTCCTTGGGTCCTCATAGTTCTCTCCCTGGTACTGCTGGGAGTTTTAGTTTCCAATCACTGGAGTAGGTTGTAGGGAAAAAAAAGAAAGCTGGAGTAGGGAGGGGAGACCATAAGACTCTGCAGAGTTCCTTTAGGACATCCTTTCCCTTAACAAAGGTACTAAAGATATTGAAGGAATCTTAGTAAATACTAGTATATGATTTGATTTATTTCTAAGACTGCACTTCCAAAGTCAGAACATGGCTTAGTTGGGGAACCCACATCCAGAAATGGGAGGTTTTTTTTTTATTAGAATATTAGAGGATTCTTGTTTCCTTGTAAATGCAACTGTTATAATGGGGTTTCACTAGAGGCAACATAACATCGGGCTGAAGAGAGCAGTTTGGTTTCAAGAGCCTTGGTCTGCAGCCTTGGTCTGGAGTCTCTTCACGGTGTCTGTGCCTGGATCCTGGTTATCAGTTACCCTGGCTCTTACTGGCTCATTTGCACTAAGGGTAGTGTGAAGAATCACATGGGGGCCCTCCCTGCTGGTGCAGCGGGTTAAAGCACAGCACTAAGACGCTAAAGCCACTTCCACATGAGTTCGATCCCCGCTTGCCCTAGAGGTGACCCACATGGCGCTGCAGACCTCTCCTGACCCGCCCGCTGCTCCCCTCAGCAGTGTACTTCATGGATCTGCCTGTTCTGCTCCCCACTCTGTCTCTGGTGAATACTCTCACCCTCTGCATCTCTGGCCTCTACCCCAGTTCTATATGAATAAATAAATAAATCTTTAAAAAAATATATAAAAGAATCACATGAAGGTGTCATTGGAAATAATCAACAAGACAATGCATTTAAAATGCTGAAACAGAGCTGGAAATATCAAGTGGTGTTATTTTTATTATCAGTATCTGTATCTAACACTGAATTTTCTAGCTCAAGCTTTTATTAAATCAATACACAATTTTTTCTGGTCCATGCAACCATCTATTTTTTACTTCATTCAACAGATATTCACTGATCATAAACACTCTTCTAAGAAATGTGCAAGGCATTGATGAAATTCAATTATGAAATTCAAGGAATTTATATTGTGGATAAGTATAGAAATTTTAAAAAGTTGATGTGGCTGGAAGGAAAGTGAAAAGGATATATTTTTGACTTGATTTTATTCATATAACCTCAGAAAACACCTGTAAATGAATTTACAGAAAAACATTTCCAAAACATTTCTATCACTTGAGGATATATATTAAATGCATGAGATTTGATTTACTTTTTTTTACAAAGTCAAAATCAGTTTATGCAAAGAATGCAAGAACACTAATTTGAAGGGAGACATGTTCTTTGCAGTACTATTTACAATGGTCAAGTGTGAAAACATCCTAAGTGCCCAAAGACAGATGAGAGGATAAAGAAGGTGTGTTATTATATAAAATGAAGTGCTCTCCAGCTATAAGAAGAGATGAAATCTTGTCATTTGCAACAACATGGATGGACCTGGAGAGGATTATGTTAAGCAAAATAAATCGAAAGAGAAAGACAAATGTTGGTTGATTTTACTCATGTGAGTAGAGAGGAGAAAAAAACAAAGAAACTGACAAAACTAAACCAAAATAATGATGACAGATAGAAGACCACTAGAGAAGGGCTAGGGAAGGGGTGAGGGGGACAAAGGTGGGAGAGGCAGAGGTCAATGGTGGAGAATTACGGGTCTTTGGGGGTGAGTGTGGAGTACTGACATACATTTGAGGAGGTGTGAACCTGTTTTCCTAAATCATACAGTGTTGCAATGTTACCTTAAAATATTAGAAATAGGCCCTCCCTGGTGGCGCAGTGGATTAAAGCACAGCACTAAGAAGCTAAAGCCACTTCCGCATGAGTTCGATTCCCGCCTGCCCCGGAGGTGACCACATGGCGCGGCAGACCTCCCCTGACCCGCCCGCTGCTCCCCTCAGCAGTGTACTTCATAGATCTGCCTGTTCTGCTCCCCACTCTGTCTCTGGTGAAGCCTCTCGCCGCCCCTGAGCCTCTGGCCTGTACCCCAGTTCTGTATGCACAAATAAGTAAATCTTAAAAAAAATATTAGAAATAAATAAGACACACAATAAATAAATAAAAATTCTTAAAAAAGAAATCGAAATCTTTATTGATACAACTGAGAATATATCATATTCTATTCACAAGAATTTATTTTATATTTTAAAGATATATTTTAAAGATTTATTTATTTGTGCATACAGAACTGGGATAACAGGCCAGAGGTATGGGAGGGTCGAAAGGGTCCCCCAGAGATAGAGTGGGGAGCAGAACAGGCAGATCGAATGAAATACACTGCTGAGGGGAGCAGCAGGTGGGTCCGGAGAGGTTGCCATGCAATGTGGTCACCTCCTTGGCTGGGGACCAAACTCATGTGGAAGCCACTGCTGATAACTTAGCAATGCTGTGCTTTAACCCATTGTGCCAGCAGGGAGGGCCCACTATTCACATGCATTTAAAGATGATTGGTTATAAAGTAAAAATGGAGACTTGAATAAAAACTGGGTAGGGAGGGTCCTCCCTGATAGCACAGTGGGTTAAAGAACAACACTAAGAAGTTAAAAGCCACTTCAGCATGAGTTCGATCCCTGGCCCCAGAGGTGATCCACATGGCACAGCAGACCTCTCTTGACCTGCCCACTGCACCCCTTAGCAGTGTACCTTGACAGTTGGTCTATTCTGCTCCCCACTTCGTCTCTGGTGAAGCCTCTCACCGCCCCTGCACCTCTGGCCTGTATCCCAGTTCTGTATGAATAAATAAAGTAAATCTTTAAAAAAAAAAAAAAAACAACTGGGCAGGGAAGACCCAAGGAAAATTTTGCTTTAAATCTTTTAAAATTAGAAAAATAAAAATATTCACAATAGCCAAATATATAACCAATCTAAATGCCCATAGGTGGATGACTAGATAAAGAAGACTGAGTATATACGCAATGCTATAAAAAAAAATGAGATCTTGCTATTTGTGACAACTTAAGTTTCAACAAAATGAGAAAATAGAATTCAAGTACTATCTAATTTTACCACAACATGGAATATAAAGAAACAAAGCAAATGACCAAATAAAGCAAAGCAAAATAAGCAGGACCCTTAGACTTGACAAGGAATGGTAATTACCAGAGGCAAAAGGGTTGGGGTGTGGAAGGAACAGGGCACCAGTTTGATAGTGGTGGATGGTGCTAGAACTTTGGAGGTGGGTATGATGTGGTACATCGAGGTGTGAAGTTGCACTCCTAAAACTTACATAACATCGTAAAACAATGGTACCTAAATGAAAAAATAAAAAAGGAAACCAAGAGTTCTGGTCCTCACCACCATGTGCCCAGCTAGTTATGAGGGTCCTGGGGTAGTCTATCCCTGAGAGGTATGGCCCTGCTGAGGAGTCTTCCCAGGGCCCCCTTCATATCTCTGTTCCGAAGACTGTAGATGAAGGGGTTCAGCATGGGGGTGACCATGGTGTACATCACCGAGGCCACCATACCTGTCCTAGAGGATGAGGTGGCTGCTGAGCTCAGGTAGACGCCAAGTCCTGTGCCATAGAATAAGGAGACCACACAGAGGTGAGACCCACAGGTGGAAAAAGCTTTGTATTTTCCTGTGGCTGATGAAATTCTCAGGATGGAGGAGAAAATCTGAGAATAAGAGAAGAGGATCCCAGAGAGAGGAAAAACACCTAGGATAATAGTCACAAAATATACCACTATGTTATTGAGAAGTGTGTCAGAACAAGTGAGTTTTAGCACTTCGGGTAGGTCACAAAAAAAGTGTGGGATTTCCATGTTTTTGCAGAAGGACAGTCTTAGAAGGGTCAAAGTCTCAAGCAGGGAGCCCATGATGCTGATACCCCAGGACCCCAGAGCTAGCAGCCCACAGATCCGGGGGTTCATGATGACCGTGTAGTGCAGGGGTTGGCAGATGGCCACGAAGCGGTCATAAGCCATTACCGTCAGGAGCAAGTTATCCAGGCAGCCAAACATGATGAAGAAAAAAATCTGGCTAAGGCAGCCTGCGTAGGTGATAACTCTGCTCCGTGTCTGGAGGTTCATTAGCATCTTGGGGATGGTGGTGGAGGTGAAGCAGAAGTCAGCAAAGGACAGGTTGGAGAGGAAGAAGTACATAGGCGTGTGGAGTTGGGTATCTGAGAAGATGACCAGGATTATGAGCAGGTTTCCAGTGAAAGTGACCAGGTACATGGACAGGAATAGCCCAAAGAGCAGAGGCTGCAGGTCTGGCTCTTTTGTGAATCCCAGGAGAAGAAAATTTCCTGTTTGATTTCTTTCCATGGGGCTGCTGGGTTTGCCCAGGAGGAAACAAGCAACTCAAAATTTACTCCAAATAAACATCCCCCAGAATGACAAATATCTACAGCCCAAACCCAGGGAAGTCAGGACATTCATTCTGGCTGATGATTGACTTTCCTTGCTCACAAATTGTGGTTAGCTTTGCTATCTGACAAAAAATTGTGTCAATAGTTCAGGGCTTCTCAATTGGTGGCCTCTGAGCAATATCATCAGTATCACAGTAGTATCTAGCAACCTGTTAGAAATGCACTTTCAGACCTCTTTGACCTATGGAATCTGCCAGATCTACCAGGGTATGGAGTCAGAACTCTCCCCTCCTGGGAATTCAGATGGCTAGACAAGTTAAAGGATAACATGCCAATGCCTGCCTGCAATTTTTTTTTGTTCCTAAATTTAGTTTGCATTTTAACCCTTAGAATACTTAGGAGGACCTTTTTAAATGCACAAATAAATGTTTTATGATTGACAATTTAGAAAAAATAATGCTAAATCCTTTCCCATATATCCTAATAAATTTCAAATGTTACCATATGCACTATTAGTAGAAATAAATAGAATCATAGATAATATAAAGTTACATGTGAATATATGTAATCTTTGACAGGAAATGTTCTTACCAATAAAAAGTCAGATAGAAATAAGTGAATAAAATATCAATTGAACCATAAGTTGAAAAATTCTTGGTGAGGAATATGCTATGCTGAAGATTAGAATACAAAAATTATATTTAACTGATAATAATTAATATCTTAAACCTATAAAGCTTTAATTATAAATCATAGGAGAATGAACATATTGATTGGGAAAAAGGTATAGGATATTAAAGTTCATAGAACAAAAAAATAAAAAGATTAATAAAAAAGGATATTTTCTATCTATATTAATCTATGAGGATGAAATAAAAACAGCATACTTTTTCTCTGGGGGAAATTAATGGGATATGATAGAATATTATTGAGGACACTAGTGATAGGCAGGGTGTGAAATATATATTTGTAGCAGTTTAATCCTATAAACTTCCCCCCAGATACAACAATGTAAACCTACCTTATCTCAATAAACATGTGAAACAAATAAAGCCAACCAAATTAAAAATTAAAAAGAAGTCCTTTAAAAGATGAATATACAAAACTCCATCACATGGAATGAGAAATAACACTTCTGATACTGTGAAGAGTATAAACGGTCTCCTTATTTTGACTGGAGAAATTAGGTCGGCATTATAATTGGAAACATTTGCACAAACCCAAGGAAAAATGATCCACAACAAAATACATCAAAATATGTATAGGGATTATCCCTGAGTGGTAATATAAATCATTTCTAGCTTCATTTTCTTCTATTATATCTTTCAAAAATGCAAATAAACATGTATCATCTATCCTTAAGAAATACTTTAAGGTTTGAAGATATTGTTAATAAACGTTCCACAAAATGAACCTAGGCAAACCTGAGAAATTAATCTAAAAGCATTGTTAATGAACTGAAAAATTCCAGAACTGAGAAATCCTACAGGTAATTATTTGGTAAACTCACTAGACAAAATTAGACAGACATCTATTAAAAGAGATAGGAGGAAATAAAAAGAACAGAGATAAAATTAGGGTTGTGAAAATGAACACAGACAAAAGGAAATGCTCAGCTTTTGCAAGACAATATTTATTGTAACTCCATGTTTCATAATTGAAAAATCTCTAAAAAATGTATTTGTTTCTGGCAAAAAGTGTGCCCAAATTTGTTAACAATAAGGAAAGAACTAAAGAAACAACAAAATTTACCTGCAAAAATGCCCTGGTGTGATCCTATGGCAGGAACAATAGAAGAATTCCCCTGTAAGCACCAAAAGAGAAAATAAATTCTACCATTGCTAATGTTACTGATCAACAACTCGCATCTTCCAACCAAGGTGACACAAAGAGGAAAGGATATAAGATGTACATATTGAAAAAGCATTTCTCGTTGTCTGAAAGTGATGGATTGGCTGCAGATAATGAATTGGCCACTAAAAATCTCTTTTCACTGAATATTTTAGGCAATTAACACAAAACAAATATGTAAAATCCAGCAGTTATTTTAAAGTGGCTTTCAGTAGCATGCAGTCCATTCAGAATGGTTTGTAACCATTCAAGTTGCATTGGTGCTATTGAGTTCTAATGCACTGCTTTCATCACTAGGGGAAATTTCTACACTCTATTCGTAAATTTTCTGGAAATCTGAAAAAAATAAAAATTAACAAAAAAGTGGCCAAAAGGGAAAAAAACCCAGTAGTATTCTTTTGTATAGTTAAATCTCACATAAAAGAGATTACAATTATTCCAAATGTTAACAAAAATGTAAATTTCCTGGGATGGGAACTGAAAAGTCGAAAATACAAAATAATTGAAAGTGATAAATTTACTAAGTAAACTGAAATTTCTTGGGGACATCCACGTGTCGAGCACGTGCTGATGTTTTATATACCTCAGCTCATTTTGTCATTTCACTATTCTTTGATTTGGCAAACGGATGTTAACATTAATGCAATTATAATAATTAACATGTATAGTGCATACTAAGTGACAATTAAAAATATTCCCATGAATTATGTCCTTTAATTTAGCCCTCATCTTAACCTTAGGAGGCAGATACTACTATTTATTATCCTCATTTTACAAATGTGGAAACTGAGGCACAGAAACAGTAGTAGTTGTCACAAGATGTATGAATGGAATTATCAGTGCAACTATGCGGAACCCCAGGAGTGTTTCTTGTCTGAATGAGTGAATGAATGAGTGAAAACGATTTTACAGATAAGTAATGCAGGAGCATCTTTGATAGCAGCATCTGTAGTCGCTTCTGAGGTGTAACTACTATGGTCGAGTAAGAAATTCTTGAGAAATGTTGGGGGCTGAGAGAGAGTCTGTTTCCATTAGGAAAGTGAGAGATTCTCAAATTAGTTTCCAGAAGCTGAGGAGAAGTGAGATGGAGAGAAATGCAGCTATCAATTTGCCTAGAATGCTTTGAGTGAATGGAGTCTCGTCATTTCCATTCTTCCCTCCAGTGTTCACCCTCTGACAGCTCTACCTGCCTCCACACCTAGGTGCTCTGTGGGCATTGCTGAGCTTCTAGTCCCTGGGTCCTTTTGTTACTGTGTGAAGAATATTCACTGCTGAGAAGAAACACAGTGAGGTGGAACCGGACATCTATTCTACCATCTATTTGAAAGGTCACAGTTGATCTCCTTCCTTTCTGGAACAGTGCAGCTGTAGGTGAGAGATGCAGGAGCATATTTACCATGGTTGTGTCCTCAGAGGTTCAATTCTCACAAATGCTCATTAAAGTAATAGTTCCAATTGTTAACATTATTCTCTGAGTAATTTGGTTCCCAGGGGTGAGGAGACAAACTAGAGTAGAACTTCTGATTTATTTTTTTCCCTGTTAGTTTTGTACCCTTGGGAGCATCTTGGCTGCCTGACAGGGTATCAAGTGTGTTTCATCCCCTTGACCCTGAATCACGGTGTCCTTTCCTCCCAGGGCCTGACCTCCATTGTCCTCTTCCATGAGCAATTCCTCAATATTTGAGATGGAATTTTCTTTCTATCAAATGCAGGACCATGTGAGTCCGAAGTACCTTGACTAGCAGTTGTGAACAAGGATCTCGACTACATCTCATTCCCAACAGAACTGTCCAATGACTTTGTCAAGAATTCTCCTCTAACTATGAAGGTGCATCTAGAGGTGAGAGAAGTACACTGTGAGATGGATTGACAGTCAGCAACTGATATCTTTTCAGTGTCAAAATAAAGCTATTGGGTGGATCTTGGTATTCCAATCCAAAGGTGATGGGCCATCTTTATTAATTAACAAAGGACTTACTATTTTTTTAGATGATTTTTGTGTTTGTCATTGTTCACATCTCCCCGGTCTTTAATTTCTGCTCTACTTAGAAAGCAAGGTTTGGATAGCTAGATTTCACAGATTTAGCTGTGGAGAATGGTGAAGTTTATCATTTATGCATTGTCATAACAACGAACCAAAATGGTTTGCACAGTTATCCCTGGGGTATAAAATTAGTGATTTTTCTATAATGGTATTTGAAGCGCTCCTCATTACTCCCCAAGATAATTAGCCCCTGAGCTGTTACTTGTATGAACACTGCTATCAGATGTGGGCTAACATTATAAGTTTTGAACTGTGATCTATCAGTTAATTAGTACTTCAATAAGAAATAGAAGAATTCAGGATTTTCAGAGAGTATCATAGTTTGCGTACATTCCAGAACTATAGACTACTTTTTTAAAAAAGTCACTGTCTTAAGCTCCTTTTCCCTCAAATTTTATTAATCTTTTGGTTTACATAACTACACCTTTTTTTGGTGGGTACATTTCAAACCACCATATGTGCCCATCCTGCACTTAACTGCCACCAAAATTCTCATATGGGAATTCCTATCCTTTTCCTTTGCTGAACTCCTTCTTTTTCCCTCCTACTCTCTACCAGTAGCATTTTCAGAGTCTAAAAACTATTTTTTGATGTGTTTGTCAATTTGTTTTCTTTGACTATTTGTAATGGACAAATAGGTGAAATCATTGTCTTATTTTCTGACCCACTTCACTTAGCATAGTCACTTCAGTATCCACTCATTTGGTCTCAAAAGGCATGATTTCATTGTTTTTTAAGGGCTGAGTAGTATTTCATTGGTTATATATTCCATGGTATAAGCACCTATATGTTAAAGTACATACTAAGCATTTCAATCGAGTTTTATATTTTCTAAACAGTGTCCACAGTGGAATTCTGTCTATATAGACTTAGACTTTGGCCCTGTATTGCTTTATCATGTGACATTGTATTTCAATATATAATGTTTTGTTCATTTAAATTTGGTTTTAAAATTTTTTATTAAATGATTTTCTATTTTTGAAGTAACATTACATTATAACATATATAAGTTTAAGTTTTGCATCACTGAGAATCAACAAGTGTGTGTGCGTATATCTATGTGTGTGTGTGTGTGTGTGTTTATATATATATTATATATATGGCCTACTAGATGTCCAATTCTGTCTCTTCCCATCCCATTGTGGGTGACTTTGTTTTCTAATCTGGTGGCCAGAAGTCTGAAATGCAGCTCTCAGTAGAGACAGCTACCTCCTGTTTGCTTTTAGTGACTCCAACCATTCTGAGGGGTTACGATGGCATCATTCCCACCTGTGCCTCCACAGTCAAATAGTCTCACCAGTGTGCGTTGCTCTTAGCAGGATGCCTATCATTGGATTTAAGGCCCTCCTGGACAGTCAAAGATGCTCTCATCTCAAGAGCCGTAATTTGATATGTAGTGATCCTCTTCCCATATAACGTCACACTCATTGTTACAGGTGCTTAGGAAGTGGATGTAACATTCTTTCCCCCATCCATCATACTATGCTGTTGTTCTGCAACCTTCCCAGGCCACGTAGGTTCACTGTCAGTTCAAGCAGCTTAACAGAGAATCTTGGAACACTTGGCATCATCCCCACAGGTCTTCTAGTAATACGAAGAGGAGACAAGTCAGCAGAGAGATAGCAACTTGGGCCCCCCTCCTAAGCTCTCCATTCTTTCCTTTCATAGCCATCTTCTGTCACTCTCCACTGCTCTCCACCACTCTTTGCCACTCTCTGCCATACCGTCCACTGCCACCTTCCCAAGCTCAGCCTCCAGGCGCAGGTGTGTCCATTTATGCATGCTCACACCATATCCAGGTGTCCACTCTCATGGAACCCACGGTCCCCAGCGCCTCTTGCATTCAAGGCCTCAGGTGATGGCCACAGAAGTCAACAACGCAAAAGCCTGAACAATCTTCAGCTGTTTAATAATATTTTAAACAATATTATTATTTAATAATAATAATATTTTAAAACAAAAACAAGCTGTAGGTTGATTTTATTCATGAGGAACAGTTGATCTTTGGCTTAGAGAGTAGATTCAGACATGAGCAGAAATCAGAGAAAACATAATAAAGTTAAAAGAAAAGCTAAATCTGGCTTATTTTATGCTAGTGAGATTTTACTTACAAGATTCAGGAAATTATCACTGAGCCTGAGCTTAATCTCTGTAGACCAAGACTGATTTAATTGTCAGGCCAGACTGAACCCTGTCACGTTTGGGAGTTGCAGAAAGAAAGTATGAGATAATGGCCTGAATACTCCCCCACATCTTAAGAGCCCTTTAAAGGGAAGAGATTCAAATAATGGTGAGTCCTTACATCTTCCCAGACACAGATAGTGTTGGCTAAATTAGCTCTGTAATATCAAATGGTGGTTTCTAAATGATGAGCACAGCTTCTCCTTTATCAGTTAACTAAGCTTGTTAGAACTCAGCCTGCTTTTGTTAAGTGAAAAATGTTAGAAATGACCCTGGAAAATTGACTAAAGAATTGAAGCATCTAGTGGGGAGGAGGAGTGGGGAGAGTGCGGAAGGGAGAATAATGGACGATGGAGGTGGATGTAAGTGATTTGGGGGTGGTGTTAAATAGGGAGAGTCCTCATGTTGCCACAACTAAAAGAATAAATTATTATTAAAAAAATTAACCATTAACTACATGTGTTCTTTCCTTTGTTAGGAAAACAATTATGTATTTCTGTGCACATAAATTTACCGATATAAACTGAGGTCAAAAACACTGAGGGGGGACCATTCACGCAGAGAAAGCTGATTCTGGTTTCCTGGTCAGGAATAACCTCTAATAAACTTCTATTTTACTGAACTTTGAGTTGGCCTCACAGAGGTCATTATCTCAGTGAATACCTTCAATTGGCTGACAAGCAGTTTTCTTATTAAAACACCAATGCCCGTGGCCTAATTTAAGGAGCATGGACAACCTGGATCTGGCAGCCCTGGGAATAAGAAGGGCTGGGCCGAGTGCCTGCCCTGCTCCGTGTAATGGGAAACCAAGACATCTCCAGCCATGGGGAAGGGGGGCAGGCAGAGGCATTGCTTAGAGAACTGCAGATGGCATTTTCAGATTTGGCCTTGGCTTGAAGGTACTGTGTGTGTAAGTCAGTGCTCAGACTGAAGGAGGACACTGGCAGCTGGACAGGTAGTCAGATGAGGTTGTGCTGGTTGGAATGTTCTGCTGACAACCCTGGCACCGTCCAGTCAGCAGGGTACACACAGAGTGCCCACCTCTAGGGTTCTTCCACTCAGTTACTCCATAACAGCATTACTCCTTGAGCTAGGCAGTGGCAACCTAGTCAGGTCCTTTGCAGGGTAGATGAGTTATCAAACTTTTTGCTGAGGTATCTTGCAATTGTGTGTGCAGGTGAAGAACCAAGACAGAAATCAGTAACCTATTCAGACATGGGGCATGGCCAGTGTAGAGTCCCCTCCTGTCCTGTACCAGTGGGAAGCAAAGGGCACTAAGGCCAGCTAAGGATACTGACCAGACAGTTTATTGGTCACTGTCTGAGTTTTTTTTTTTACCCACACACATAATTGTAGGACATGCAGGCTCAGGAAACAATAACAATGGGATTTAATTAACAAACCAGGTGATAACAGTTACTAAGGCCAATAATGGCCTTTACCTCACCCAAAGCCATGTCCAGTGTTTCTCAGTTTTGCACAAAAGCTGTTAAAATGGCATTTTCCCACCACTGAGGATTCAGAGCTCCTCTCCCAAACAGTAGGCTCTGTGTCAGATGATGTCTTCCTGTCTCTGCAGACACATGGAGGCCAGATGCTAGGCCAGGATCCAACTCACAAAGACAGCAGATCCAACAGGAGATGTTCCATGAGCTGTTGGGATAACCCAGCACAGCATCAGACTGGTGACCTTCAAAATGTTAAGGAGAAGGATGTCCTAAAAGAACTCTGAAGAGTCTTAAGGACCCCACCCCCTACTCCAGCTTTCTGAACTCTACCCCCTACGCCAGTGATTGGAAACTACAACTCCCAGCAGTACCAGGGAGAGAACTGCGAGGACCCAAGGGCAGAGCTAGCAGGAATTCTGGGACATTTGGAGGATAAATAGGGCGCGATTGAATATCACGCGCTCTCTCTCATTGGGGAAGCAGCTCTCCTGACCGCGTGACTTGGTGGGTTCAGTCAGCCTAGCCGTAAGGTATTCCAGTTACTTTGTATCCCGCTTCTTTTCCTGGGTTGTTTCCTATTCCTTTCCCCTTTTGTAAGTAAACCCGTTATTGACCCTTTTGTGTGTACCTGCAGTATAACTGAGCTGTGAGTGTGCGGGTGAAGCCCCACAGACAGGCGGCCCAGTCCACTGTGGGCTACCCTGTAACAAAAACAGCAGCTGCAGTGGTCAAGGAATCCAACAAAGGGTGTCACGCATCTCAGTGAGAGGCCTGGCTCCCACTTCTTTACCTTTTTCCACCAGGCCACAAAAGCAGCACAACCAGAAAACAGTTGTAGCTGCTTGGCTACTTGCAAACCCCGACAAACAGCCACACTCAAGCATCCGAGTAAAAGGCCTGGCTCTGTGTCTGTCTTCTCTGCAGGCCACAACAGACTTCTGAAAGACTGGCATGGTGGGGCCCAAGTTCTCTAACCCCACACGCTGAATTACGAAAACTCACCCACAGCGCCCTTCTTTATCTGTGGTTCCACTCTACTTTCTGGCATTTTCCCTGGGGCTATCTATCCTCATCAGCAATCCTCTCCAGGGAGCACCACCTGTAACAATCTTTTGGCTTCAGCCCCTGACTATATAAATACATGGCCAGCCACAGGACTAGATAAGAGCCAAACTGCCTCTCACTATGAAGGACCTCTGTTTTACAGATTCAGGTAATTTTGTGGGGTTGTGGTGTGATTTTGTGTGTGTGTGTGTGTGTGTGTGTATGTGTGTGTGTGTGTGTTGTGTTTATAGTCAGCAGAGGTTCCTGGGCTCTTGATTACATTTCAGCCCCCATGCTTTTTTTTTTTTTAAGAATTTTTATTTTTGCATACAGAAATGGGGTACAAGCCAGAGGTACAGGGGTGGTGAAATGATTCATAGAGGCAGGATGGAGAGCAGAACAGGCAGATCGAGGAAGAACACTGCTGAGGGGAGCAGCGAGCAGGTCAGGAGAGGTCTGCTGTGCCATGTGGTCATCTCCAGAGCCAGGGTTCAAACTCGCACTGAAGCAGCTGCAGATAGCTTGCAGTGCTGTGCCCTCACCAGTTGCGCCACCAGGGAGGGCCCTCAGCCCCTTTGTTTTTAGTGTTACCTTGGAATATAGGGACCCATGTCACCTACAGGTCACCTACAGTCATGGAGCTCCTTTGCAACAAGATTAATAAATGGCATAAAATTTGTAGTATAGATGAGGATTTTATTTTGCCTTGAAGCTTCAGCAGTAGCAGATGCCACTGCACTCTTCAACATATCTGGCACCATTAGTGATCATGGTCTCTCGTGCTCATTCACCTTACTACAGGGCTTCACCTTAGTCAGCTAAAACATTTGAAACAAGCACTTTCCTCAGAGCTTTAGTGCTGTTGATTTCTCTGCCAGAAACAAACTTCCCCTCAGAATCTTAGGTTTCTGTAGGGTGAACGGCAGGGATCAGGTTTTTTCTGTTCTCCTGCCACTAGCATCAATGATTGACACCTGTGGTCTTATGCAAGCGACTGATGGCGGTTCCTGGAACATGGTGTGGGCATGCATAATGGGCACACCTGAGCCGGACACTGAGCTTATGAGGGGGGTGTCACAGAGGTGCTGCAGCAGAGACCATCAAAGAGACCACTAGAGAACCCCAGAGAGGCCAGGAAGAGTGAAGATTTGTGGGGGGCTAGGAGGCTTGCCCACCTCCTGGCCCTGTAGCTCCCTGCATATTCTGCACCTGGTTGCCTCACTACAAGTAGTATGGAAAGAACATTAAAGGCCTGGAAAAGCCACGGAGGGCTCCAGGACTCTTTTCACCTGGCTGCCTGGATCAAAGAAAACCTCGCCCCCCCCCCCCTCACTAGTGCTACAATCTCCCTTTCCTGTTACTTGAGTTTCCTGTTCAAATGTCAATATTGTTTGCAGGTCTTTCCAAAACCACCATGAAATATAGAAGGCAATTCATTTCTCCTTTGTATCTGCTGTCCTTTTCTTCATACTGCCTGTCACTATCTGGAATGTTACTAAATTTATTGCTGGCTTATATATTCCTTCCACATCATTGAATTGAAGGAACTTGTTCTCCAGCACCTTACACTTGCTACATAATGCCAATATCACCATCAGCAATCAATTCATATCTGGCTATGAAACCTTCATAGACACCTGTTTCACCTCTACAACTATCCCCGAGATGCTGTTAAACATCCTCACACAGAGTAAAGTCACACCCTATGAACACTGCATCACCCAGATTTACTTTATGGTACTCTTTTCAGTGTTGGATGTTTTTCTCCTTACCATGATAGCCTATGACCACTTTGTGGCCATCTGCCACCCTCTGCACTACACGGTCATCATGAACCTCAGGCTCTGTGGGCTGCTGGTCCTGGTGTCCTGGATCCTGAGTGCCCTGAATGCCTTGTTAGAAAGCTTAATGGTTTTGCGACTTTCATTCTGTGCAGACTTGGAAATCCCCCACTTTTTCTGTGAAGTCAGTTGGGTGATCCCACCTGCCTGTTCTGACACCTTTGTTAATAACATGGTGGTGTACTTTGCAGCTCTCCTGCTGGGTGGTGGTCCCTTATTTGTATCCTCTAACTCTAAGCTAGTTTCCTCCATCCATAGAATCTCATCAGCTTAGGGGAAAGTATACAGCATTTTCCATGTGTGCTTCTCACCTCTCAGTTGTTCTTTATTGTACAATCCTAGGAGTGTACCTTAGCTCTGCTGCTACCCACAGCTCACGCTTAAGTGCAATAGCATCTGTGATGTACACTGTGGTCACGCCCATGCTGAACCCCTTCATCTACAGTCTGAGAAACAAAGACATAAAAAAGGCCCTAAAAAGATTCATTGTGGCCCTCCCTGGTGGCGTAGCGGGTTAAAGCACCGCACTAAGAAGCTAAAGCTGCTTCCGCATGAGTTCGATTCCCGCCTGCCCTGGAGGTGACCACATGGCGCGGCAGACCTCTCCTGACCCGCCTGCTGCTCCCCTCAGCAGTGTACTTCTTTGATCTGCCTATTCTGCTTCCCATTCTGTCTCTGGTGAAGCCTCTTGCTGCCCCTGAGCCTCTGGCCTGTACCTGTACCCCAGTTCTGTATGCACAAGTAAATAAATCTAAAAAAAAAAAAAAAGATTCATTGTGAAGGAAACCACAAAAAGACAATTGTCATAGTTTTGGTAAAGTGACAGTGATTGCAGAGGTTAAAACTTCTGCATAAGAAATTGTGATTATTAGTAGGAATACCGGGGAATAAAATAAAGGATCAGGGAAAAATCAATAAAAACTCAACACAACAAAAATAAAAATACAATTATATATCAGAGACATTCTGTAGGGGAGGGGGAGGGAGAGCACAGAGACTATGGTGATGGTGCACCGGTGAGCTGGTGGTGGGACTGCACCTGAGAGAAGAAAGCAAACATTGTACAAAAATGAACAATGATTAAATATATACAAGTAAATACATTATTAAAAGAAGAAACTGAAATTGTGATTATTTGACCAAACTCTGGAAGTAGATATTTCTCTTTCAATTTATTTCTTGGAATTTCCATTTCTAAAATCAACTTCTCTATTCAACTTATATAATCTTTTTTTCTAAAGATTTATTTATTCATACAGAACTGGGGTACAGGCCAGAGATGCGGAGGGTGAGAGGATTCACCAGTGACAGAGTGGGGAGCAGAACAGGGTGACTGATGAAGTACACTGCTGAGGGGAGCAGCAGGAGGGTCAGGAGAGGTCTGCCTCGCCATGTGGATCTCCTCTGGGGCAGGTGGGGATCAAACTCATGCGGAAGTGGTTTTAGCTTCTTAGTGCTGTGCTTTAACCCGCTGTGCCACCAGGGAGGGCCTAAACAAAACTGATTTTAATGGGTCCAAAGACAATGTTCAAAGCTAAAGGTTATGCTTGCTTTCCACATTTTTATTTAAAATAAACATATTCATATGTATAAAAACACATGTCAACTACATTAATTTATAGTTTCATACTTTATGTTGAAAGGAAATAAGAGAAAGGTGGAGATGATAGAAATAAAAAGAATGGTCATTCCAATTAACAAATTAAAAGAATGTAGAAATTTTGATACAGGTAACTGAATATTGACAGAATGGTTTTGTTCCTGTTTTGATTGCATTATTTCAAACAAGGAATTAAAGTTTTATCACCAGCTTTATTGTTTTCCATTTAATTTTTTATAAATGCATAGTTGTGTATGTGGAAGATTGTGGGCAGACAAGAAAATACAACACATGACAATTTGACAAATCAAGGGACTATGAATCACAAGCAGAGAACAGCTCTCTAGAGTTAAATCTCAAAGACATGAAAGATTTTATCTATCTGATAGTGAGATCAAACTATTATAAGAAGGAAAATCAAAGAGATGGAAGAAAACTCAAAAAAGCTCAGAAAAGAGATTAAAAAAAAAGAAGCCAGGAAAAAAGAGGAATAACCTAGGCACTAAAATTGACAATCACAAAATAGAAATTAAAGTTTTATGTAAGAGAGTAAACTGATTTATATAAGGTTCAGATAAAAACTTCAAGGCTGTGGAAGTAGAATAGACCAAATGAAAGGCTGGATAGTGACTTCAAAGATAGAAATGTACAAAATATCCAGCTGGAATAACAAAAAAATACTAATTAAAAAAGAACTACTTCAAGAATTACCCAGCTCCTTTAGGAAAGGTAACATAAGGTTAATGGTATTTCTAGGTGGAGAAGAAAGAGTGGGGAGGGAAGGGAAGGTCTTAATTTTCTTTTAAGATTTAAAAAAAAATTTACTTTTTTTTTTGCATACAGAACTGGGATACAGGCCAGAGGTGCAGGGGCGGTGAGAGGATTCACCAGAGACAGAATGGGGAGCAGAACAGCAGATCAACGATGTACACTGCTGAGGGGAGCAGTGGGAGTGTCAGGAGAGGCCTGCCACGCCTTGTGAGTCACCTCTGGAGCAGGTGGGAATCCAACTCATGCTGAAGAGGCTTTAGCTTCTTAGTGCGGTGCTTTAACCTGTGGTGCCACCAGGGAGGGTCCAGGCTTAATCTTCATAGTAGAAAACTTCCCTAACTGGGGAGAAGGAATTAAAAATACAAGTTCACAAAGCTAAACATGTGATTACTTATATGTTATGGACCTATAACAGTGAAACAATGCAGACTTAAAGATAAATAAAGAATAATGAAGGCAAGTAGGGGAAAAAAGCAAGTAACTTATAAAGTTATTCCTATCAAGTTTACTTCAGACCTCTTGTCAAAACCCCCACAAACACAGTAAGAAATGATGTATTCAAAATGCTCAAGAATACATACTGCTTGTCCCAAACACTATAACCTGGAAGAACCACTTTCAGATATAAAGGAGAAAAGGCTTTCTAAGACTATCACATGAGATTTCCCCTATGAGAAATGGTTAAAGGAATTATACAATATATGTCAAAGAGAATAAAATGCATTAAAAATTGAGTGAGGCATAGCAGGAGTATAATGGACCAGGCGAGAAAATAACAAAAATAATGAACAACCATATACCAGAGACATTCTGTGGGGGCGGAGTGGGGAATGGGATCAAAAACGGGGGGGAGGGAGGAGAAGGGAGGGAAATGCACAGGACTATGGTGGTGGCACACGGGTGATTTGGTGATGGGAAACCCGCGGGGATTACAATCGAGATGGAAAAAAAATGTGCAAAATGATGTAAAAATAAACTTGTAATAAAAAAAATTGAGTGAGGAAATAGAAACCAACAAAGACAAAACAGCAGAAAAAAATCATCCCATTTCAATAATCTTCTGGAATGTAAATAAATGGACTGACTTCACCAATTGAAAGAAATAGAATGACTGTTTGGATCAGAAAACCAAAACCTAACTTTCTACTGCCTCACATCTAAGCTGCAAAAGTAAATGCATGTTCAAAGTAAATGGTTAAAGAACAATCCTAAAACCAAATGGGATGCCAAAGGGCATCATACTTACATCAGATAAAATAGACTTTCAACTAAGAAAGGTAAAAAGAGACAAGGATAGACATTATATAATGATTAAGCGAGCAATACAACAGGAAATTCATAACACTCATCAATATACATGCACCATGTAAAGGGACATTAAAATATATAAGGCAACTATTAAGGAACCTGAAAAACAGACATTGGTACCAATATAAAACATCCCTTTTCATCAAGGGAGAGATAAAAGAGAAAATCACCACAACAAGGAAATAATAGCTTTTAAGTAGAAATCAGACCAGATGTACTCAACAGAGCATGGCACCCAATAAAACTTAGTTCCCATTCCTGTCAAGTGAACATGAACCATTCTGAGGATAGAGCACATGTTTGCTTACAAAATAAATGTCAGTGAATCCATAAAGACTGAAATCATATTAAGTATCTTCTTTGATCGAAATGGCATTGAACTAGAAATCAACCAGACAAAGCAGAAAGCAGTGTTAGTCAGTCTCTAATGATGGAGGATTAAAATAGGAAAATTTGAGAAGGAGTCACCACCAGACAGAAGCCTGGCTTACACAATGGTGGGAGGTAGGGGGAAGAAGGGACTGCAAAGCCATTAACCAAGCTATAGAAACTAAAAATCCTTAGGTACCTATATGTAAATCACAAGCAGTTGCCAGACTGCTGTAGAGTGTCATGAGCAGAGACCAGGAGGTAAAGATAAGAAGATTGAGGGCTTTTGTAGAATCCCCAGTCCCTTTCAAATTCTCCAGTTATCACAAACCAGCAACAAACAAACCACTCCACAGAGGAATGAGCCCTCCCAAAGAGAAGACTTTATCAGGGCAATCTCTGCACTGGCAAGGAGCTAAGGTGCACAATTCTTCTGCACCTGTGCTATGCAGGTGCTCCTTGCTGCCAACTTGCACCCTCTGCAGGGCAGCAGCCTCCTGCCTGTGACCAGTAACCCTGTGGGTGTTTTTCTTCACTGACCTCCCTCAGCAGAGGCAGCTCAACATTGCGCACCCGCGACCATGCAGGCCCCTTTTTAGCATTATCCCTTTTGGATATAACTAAGGTCTCTGTGGCATGGAGAAACTCACCTGGGAAATTTGGTGGTGCTGCTGAAAGGGGAGCTCTGGTGAAACTTTTCCCAGAGTGAACCCAAGGACTCCACTCTCTGAACTCAACATCTCCAAAATGATCATCTAACAGGTAGACTGACCAACAGTTTACTAAACAATTATTGTGTTAATGAAGAAATCATTGGACAAAAAGAAAAAAAAAACACATGAAGACAAACAAAAATGAAGATACAGGCCCTCCCTGGTGGCACAGCGGATTAAAGCACAGTACTGAGAAGCTGAAGCCACTTCCGCATGAGTTTGATTCCCGCCTGCCCCGGAGGTGACCACATGGCGTGGCAGACCTCTCCTGACCTGCC